GGGGGAGTGGGGGGCACAGAATATGCAAACATCTGCTTACAGAAATTGTCAAAAAGAAAGTCTGAGGAAAAGATATTCTCAGAGGCAGCCATTCCAAATGGCTAATTAGGTGCCTTTCTTTCAGGTAATCCCAGCGATGGGGAAAACTTCCTTCAGAATTATTTTCTTACCTACTGAAGAAGGGAGCGTGGAAAGTTCCTTATTTATTAATACCTCCTCATATGGAGTCTTTTCCTATCATGTAAGTAACTTTTTTTTCCTCGTCGCATAGTTTGGGCGTTGACTTAGCAGAGGGGTTTGGATAGTTTGGATAGTTGGAAGTGTTGCCACCTGGTTTATGCCAGTAATATTATATGATATTAGTGATGCTAAACTCACCAGCCTTCCCCCTCCCCTACCCCACATGGCTCACCCAGTGAGCTGTAACTCTCACCCTGGATCTTTGGAGCGCATCGGAACAAAACAAAGGAATCTACCACACAGTTTTCTAGTAGAAAATATAGCAGGCTTTCAAAACTCACAGACTTCACCCCAAAAATGGTCTAGAGGGAGGGAACTGTAGGGGGAATTTGCAGTGACATGGGCTCAGGATCGTTTCTCATCAGGGGACATGGCTTTCGTGCTTGAGGACCAGACCTCAAGGCGCTCACTCTTCATATCAAGGCACTAGAAGGGGAGGGCGGGGTATCTTTTTGTTGTTCACAAACATAGTTGGGAATCTTCATCTCAAGTTGTACCCGTGACATCTTTAAGAGGACATGGCGTGAAGTAATTTAAGTGCCAAAATCTATCTGGCCATTTTTGTGGTTAATTCTTACTGGATTCCACTAAACACATGGTCCCATATCAGAAAAGTTGACTATTTGTGAAAAGATTTGCTGCAGTGAGGACCATTCAGCTTAAATACAGCAATTTTCATTACTTTTTTTTTGTAGACAAAGATAAATATAATAATTGGATAGAGTCTTGAATGCAGAGGTGATGAGTCCAGATTTCCTTTGGAAAGGTATTTTAGCGTTTTGGCAAATGTGTTTCAGAATTAACAGAGGAGCGATTCTCTGTTTTCCTGCAGGTATCTGGAATTGGTACTCGCAGAATCTCTACAGAAGGGTCTGCAAAGCAGCTCCCAAATGCTTATTTTCTGCTTCCGCAGGTCCAGAGCATTCAGCTCTCACAAACACAGGTAATTTTAATAATAGACTTATTTTGAATGCTAGTCAACACTGAACTTGGTTGCCCTCTAAATTTATGTGTCATCTGCATATAGCTCCTTTGCATAGTTGGGATTTTAGTTTTTTCTGCTTTTTGAAAAAATCTTGATATATAGAAATGGAAACATGTGTGTAAAGTGTCAGTGGAATCCATATATTTCTTGTTAATGGCTGTACTGTCTGTCTGTCCATGGCGTTGACATTTCTCAGTTTTCCTATACTGTCGGTGCTTTGAAATGTTTCCAGTTTTTCATTATTATAACCATTAGTCCCTGTACATATTTTATAAGTTTATTTCCTTTTAGGTTACCTGTTCCTTTGGGCTATATTTCATTGAGAGATTCTGTAGTTAGAGACTAGGAAGCGTTTTATAGAGCTTGTTAAATCTCGCCAGGCTGCTTTTTAGGGAGACAGAAGAACCTCCATGGTCAACAGTAACGATATTCCTGCAGGAAGGTCTCACTGTCTTCCCCCTTCCCCGCTTCCATTCCTGCCCGTGTGCGGCTTAGTGGAAATAAATGTTTTTGATATTTTAGAAGATAGAGAATGAGACCTTCTCATCTTTTATTCTGCACAGATACATTTTATTAGTAGCGTGTAGGTTTGGTCATTTTTTTCTTTGATTATGCATATTTCCTGGTAACTATGGATAACTTTTGAAAATGAAAAAAAGAAAAACAAAACTCTCGAACCAAGATGTTATGAACCTTACCATCTTGCCTGCCATTTCTCTCTGAGTAGTGAATAAAGAACATTGCTTAGAATTTTTCATCAGTCACAGCTGTACCTGGAGCTCTTTTTCATTTAGCGACCTCATTGAGCCTCTGCTGTGGGCCTGGCCTTGATCTAGCCTTTCTCTTCATGGAGCTTGCATTCCAGTGGATGAGACAAACAAAACGAATTTACCTGTAATGTAATGTCTGGAAGCTTTGTCACCACATAAATCATTCTTAAGAGTTTTTTACCATTACTTTCATTTTTACCAAATTGAATAGCCCCTCCCCCCAGGATTGTAAGGAAGATTTCTTTTAATTTGCACATTTGGATTGGGTTTAAATCCTATAACAAGTTGGGGATATATTGAAAGGTTTTAAGCAGGAGACTGATGTGAACTGACTTGCGTTTTTGAAAGGGCGGGAAGGGTCCAGAGGAGGTTTAACTTGCATGTGCCGACAGCGTGGGTTTTCCCATATGAACATTTTTAGCTTTATCTCAGGGCTGTCCTGCAGCAAAGAGGGGCCACTGAGAATGGCCAGGTTTCTCTGGTGTTTGAGACTGGGTGCTTTGAGTTCCAGATGCCACATTAGTGGTGATATAAGTATTGAAACAGACGTGGGCGTTCAGATTACTGTAGTTAATGGGGTTAATGTAAGGATACATGGAATTAAGGGTCTCACAGGGAGGCCTGCATGAGACCTTGATAGGACGAGAGCGTGTTCCTGTCTACTGACCACGATGCCCACTGCCCTTTTCCGCGTCCAGGTCATCATCACCTCTCTCCGGGACAGTATACCGCAGTAGCCCCCTAACTGGTCTGCCACCGTATACTTTGGCCCTTTCTAGTCCTTTTCCCAAAAACGCAAGTCGGACCGCATTAGCCACCTGCTTACCACCTCTCGGTGCATTGCTGTAGGTCCTGGGGTTTACGCCCAGCCTTCGGGGGGGGCTGTAGTGAGGCCTCACACAGTGCGGCTGCCGGGTCCCTTCAGTCTGGTGGCACACCATTCTCACAGTCACACCGGCCTTCCTCTGCCTGCTCGCACGTGCCGTTTCACTCCTGCCATGGGTCCATGGTGTCTGCAGTTTCCTCAGACTCCCTCCCCCACATTAACCCTTATCGCATTCCTCCTCCATCAGCTCCAGTTCTTCAGGGAACCTGGCCCTCTTTCCCCATTCTAGTTCAGGACCCGTGTCAGACTGTAGTAGAACTGTGTTCCTTCCCCCTCAGAACCCCATTCAATAGTCACACGCCCCACAATGCGGTTACTTAGTCGCTCTTTCCTTCACTCCGTGGAATTTGAGCCGCGTGAAAGCAGGGACTGTCCGATTCGGCCCTCCACTGTCCTCCCTGAGCCTAGCCCAGGACCTGCAGTCGGAGGTGCCCAGTAAACGGTGGCCGAGGGATGCTGCGGCCTCCGGGCCGGTCTGTCGCTCTCCCCTCAGGAGCAGTTTTTGTTGCTTCCTGCCCTGCAGCCCAGCATGGTGGTGGCTTGGCTTCATTTGGTCTTTGTTTCTGCGTTAGCTGATACCAAACTCTCTCAGTTTGGTTTCTTTTCTTTTTTTGCATTTTAATTTATTTTTTCAAACAGCTTTATTGAGATATAATTCACATACCACAAAATTCACCCATTTAAAGTGTACAGTTCATTGGTTTTTAGTATATCATAAAGTTGTGTAACCATCACCACCGACCGTCTAATTTTAGAACATTTTCATCACCCCAGGCTCTGGCAACCACTACTCTATTTTTAGTCCTTATAAATTTGGCTATTCTGGACATTTCATGTAAACGAAATGTGTGGTCTTTTGTGATTGGCTTCTTTCAGGTAGCATAATCTTTTCAAGTTTCATCCATATCATAGCCTATATCAGTCTTTCATTCCCTTTTTTATTGCCAGATAATATACCATTATATGGACATACCACATTCATTTAACTGTTTTATCACTTGGTGGACAGTTAAGTCATTTCCATATTTTGCACTCAAAGCTTATACCCAGGGGTCTAAAGAGAATTGGATTTTATCTGGCACTCCTCCATGCTGATCAGAGAAAGAAAGTAGCAGGAAGATTTCGTAAAACTACGAACATGGATCAGAACAGACAATGGCAGATGCGCTTCATGTGCTGCATTAAGGACACAGTTCAGATGGCATTTTTAAGATGGCCTAAGCTATCTGTCAAAACTTGAAAGAAATTTGAGTTGTCAGAATGGTCACAGAAGACATCAGATATTTTCCTGCTGCAGACTGAACAAAATTCCATCATGAGAAATTAAATCAGAAAACAATCAGAAAACAGATGCATACCTCTGTATGGCATCCTGCTGTATGCGACTCGACACTCTTGATGCGTTTTCCTCCGCTATAGCTCAGATGTTAAGAAGCCAAACTAGGTTCTGGCGATGTACCAGGATGTTTAGAGGCTGGAGCTCCAGCACAGTGCCCAGAAGCTCTGTCTGTGTTCAGAGTGAAAGCCGTCGAGGCCTATCCCTCACTGGAACGCCAGCTCAGCTCAGCAGCCTTTGTTTTTCACTGACTAGCACTTTGTAGGTGTTCAGTTAATGTGTGTTGGCACAAATGAGCGCAAGTTCTTATTTTTATACATCCAGGGATAAACAGGGCAGTTCTTATCAAATAAGCTTATTAAGCACAAAAATACACATAGTTTCAAGGAGGCTTTAGAGAGATCGCTAGAAAAGGTATGTAAATAGGTCAGGAACGGGGAGCTACAGCTGCACAGGGGACATTCTCAAACCTTTAAGTTCAGTCGCATGAGTATGAAGTTTCCCCTCCCCTCTGTGCTATAGTTACAACCCTGGGACTTACTCAGTTTATAACTGGAAGTTTGTACCTTTTGACCCCCTTCCTTCATTTCAACCCCCGCCCTCCCCGCCACCTCTGGAACCACCAGTCCTAATCTGTTCTATGAGTTCTTTTTTTCCGTTAATCGAGATTGCACATATAAGCGAGAGCGTATCGGTATTTGTTTTCTCTGTCTGACTTATTTCACTTAGCATAATGCCCTCAAGGTCTGTCCATGTTGTTGCACATGGCAGGATTTCCTTTTGTTTTTAATAGCTGAATAATATTCCATATATAGTTTTTTATATACCACATTTTCTTTATCCATCAATGGACACATAAGGTTGTTTCCGTTTCTTGGCTATTATAAATAATGCTGCCATGAACGCGGGGGTGAAGAAATCTTTTTGAGTTAGTGTTTTCGTTTTCTTTGGATCAATACCCAGACGTGGAATTGCTGGATCATATAGTAGTTCTATTTTTAAGTTTTTGAGGAACCGCCATAGTTTTCCATAGTGGCTGCACCAGTTTACGATCCCACCAACGGTGCACAAGGGTTCCTTTTCTCCACGTCCTTACAAACGTTTTATATCCATATGAAGTAAATGCTGATGGAGGACAGAGGAGCTCTTTTCACTGGAGGGTTAGCCAGCCATATGGAGCTTTTCAGATGTAGGGGATTGTCACTGGCCTTTCCCCACGCTTCTTTAAAGTTGCTTCCTGAGATTGCAACTAGAAATTTTATGCCATCGGAACACCTTGGCTCACTTCTCCTTGCCACTTGTCACAGATTACCTCAAACAGATAACACTGTGGCAGCGGTTGGTCTCATTGTTTGCTAAGCTGTTAAAAGATTTATTTGGCTATAACACAAATCAAGTTTAAATAATGCTAAAAAAAAAAAATGATGGATTTATGTTAGGGATACAAGCTGGAAGAAAACATACTTACCTGTATGAGATAAAGAAGCCGGTTTCATACCTCGGTCTGTTTCTAAGCTTCTGGTCTTTCCACCAAGCAACACTGCCTCTTGGGAAGCATTACATGAGTACCTGTAAAACAACACAGAGCCTAACCCAGAGCCACAGAGTTTTACTTTATTAAAGCACTCTGAAAAGGACATTGTTTAATATTTGATCTTTTATAAAAGAATATTAAATAGGAGAAATGGTCAAACAATACACTCATTTTATTTGATCTTATTTCTATATTAGGGTGAAAGAGTATTAATATCTATAAAGTCATATGCATTGTGGTTGGTTCTGCTCTCTTAAATGAATCCTAAGGTTAGGATCCCAGTTTGTTTTTCAGAATAACAAAAAAATTTATCCATCTGATGAAATAAACTAGAACGCCAGCAAATAATTCTCATTTTTTTATACTAAGGGCTCACTTTGGTCCTTTTTGTTCATGTGCGTTGCCCATTGGTATCTGACTGTTGCATTTTTC